AATAATAATAATAATAATAATAATAATAATAATAATAATAATAATAATAGTAAAGTTGGAAGGGACCTTGAAGGTCATCTAGTCCAACCCCCTGCTCAGGCAGGAAACCCTACACCATTTCGGACAAATGGCTGTCCAGTCTCTTCTTAAAAACTTCCAGTGTTGGAGCATTCACCGCTTCTGGAGGCAGGTTGTTCCATTGGTTAGTTGTTCTCACTGTCAGGAAGTTTCTCCTTAGTTCTAGATTGCTTCTCTCCTTGATTAGTTTCCATCCGTTGCTTCTTGTCCTGCCTCCAGGCGCTTTGGAAAATAGCTTGACTCCCTCTTCTTTATGGCAACCCCTGATTTATATCTACGGGAGCCTTCTGTCAACCTAGTCTAGTCTAAAACCTCTGCCCAGTGGGGAAGTTTTAAGAAGCACAATGTTTGTTGCTGAGCAAAGGTATCTGTCTGCCTTGAGAAGGCTTGGAAGTCTAGTCAAGGCTTGAAGCTCCCAATCTTCCTACTTGTTGAGGACAGCAATTCTTAGACTCTTATTGATAAAGATTTCCTACTCTTTGATTAGCTTCTACACTCTGTATTGTAAGGTGAAAATGAATGCTTCAGCAAAGTCTACATTTCAGGAAAGTTATACCTCCATTCTCCAGTAGCAGAACTGAATAGGTGCAATACAGGCTAACTCTGCATTAGCACATCCTTCTAATTATTTTCTCCTTGATGTGAATAATATAGAATGTTTTTTTACATTTTGCTCAAGATGGCAACAACTATAGTTTGCATTTCTAGCAACTTTCATCCACTTTTTTTTATGCCATAACCTAGTCTGTTTCACTAATTGCATTTTTTCTTTTCTTAACCTGGCAGTGACTCTGATGGAACTTAATTTAGTGCAGTAGTAATGGCTATTACTGGAAAATGCAAAGGGTTGGAGGAATCCTTTTTGTATGAAAGGCTGCTGCCCAGAGCTTAGCAGCTGCTTATTTACTCATTTTTATTTATGAGAATTATGAAAAGTTGATGCACATTTGCACATTTATAAAGTTGACACACATTTGCATATACAAAAAATGTGTCTATTTATAATTTGTAGATCATTTTCATGGTTGGTCGTGGTTATACATCGCCTGATCTCAGCAAACTATACAAAAACTGTCCAAAAGCTATGAAGAGGCTTGTAGCAGATTGTGTGAAAAAAGTGAGGGAAGAGAGACCTCTTTTTCCACAGGTGAATATAGTTTATGATAGAATAAAACAAAATCAGGAAAAAAAATTGCATATACATTCCGTGAATTGCATGTTGAAAAATAAAAATTCTGTTCTGTCGCTGAGCTCTTTGATTTGGAAATGATCCTGTTATATTGTAATGAATGATAATCAGTGTTTTAATTTTCAAAATATAGAAAATTACCAGCTCATAAATTAATTCCCGTTATCATCAACTGAAACTAAACTTATATAGAGTCAAGGGTTTTTTTTTTGTATCTATAATGTTAATGTCTCTCTAATGTTCCTGTGCTGAATATAATATTCAAAATACAGTCTGTGTGGATGTGTTATTTCTGAAAAATAAAAAAAAAACATTTCTTGCTTCCTTTCCCCATCGTCTTCCAGATATTGTCTTCCATTGAACTGCTGCAACATTCTTTGCCCAAAATTAACCGAAGTGCTTCAGAACCTTCTCTGCATCGTGCAACTCATACCCAGGACATAAACTCATGCACATTGACTTCAACAAAGTTACCTGTGTTCTAGGAGATCCACGTGCAGTCTTCACCGTTCTCCCCAATAACAGTTATTTTATAGCAGTTGTGTTTTTGAAAGCTTCAGTCTACAGAATTGAACAGCCAGCGTGGGATTCACCTGGGTGCCAATTTTAAGAGTGAGCTGCTAATGAATTTCTGCTGTTCTAAGCCTACAGGGACAAAAAAACTCCATGTTGCCTTTTGCTACAGTTTAATCTTATGGAAATAGTGCACAGACTGTATAAACAGAAGTTCTATTGCTATTTTTTTATAGATGCACTTGAGCCTTATTTTTTTTTTCCCCATATGCAAAAAAAAAAAAAAAAAAAAAAAAAAAAAAAAAAGTATTACTTTTCTGGTTTCAACTCTTGCATTCTGCTGAACAGACTGTTATTTTTTTTTTGTATAGCAACAGCATTTGAGAAAAGGCAATGCAACTGGTGCTGTTTTTCTTATACCTTAAGAACATTCTGGCTTGGAGAAATCATAACTAAAATGCCAATTTGTAAAAAAAATGACTTAAGGGAAGAGGGAAATGCAAGTTCATGGAAGCATCCCCGACTGAGCATTTGTCGTAATCGCTTAATATTGGTGGTTAAAGTTTCATCACTACAAATAATTTTGCACATAGAAGAAGAAAAAAAATCATTTTAAGATGAGATGTATATTATAACTAGCACTGCTCCCCAGAAGCTGGCACAATCTTGCTACAATCTTCATAAGATAACATAAGAATTATTGGGTACTTCAGACTTGTTTCTTGCAGCACCTGGAGGGTTCAGTAAGACATGATAGTTTTATGGGAGGAGAAGAAAATAAGTAATGTCAGTATATTTCTGCAAAACAAGCAGCCATTAGACTGAAAAAAAACCCCTTTTTTTCTGAGATGCACTATAAGGAAATTTGGCATATACAGTTGCTGATTTGGGTTTTGATTTGTTTTTATTGCTCTGAGAGAAAAACATTTATTGTAAACCCAGTTCTTCTGATTATCTTATTTTAATAAATAAATTAAATTTAAATTTGTCATTAATATGTTTTTTTTAAACTGTTTCACACACAACGGGTTTGGTCTCCCAATATGTGTATGTATGTGTTTATCCAATTAAATCCATAAATTCTACTTTATCAAGTACTTTTAGAGCAGTGTTTCTCAGCCTTGACGATTTTAAGGCATGTGGACTTCAACTCCCAGAATTCCACAGCCAGCATTGCTGGCTGTGGAATTCTGGGAGTTGAAGTCCACATGCCTTAAAATCGTCAAGGTTGAGAAACACTGTTTTAGAGGAAGGGAATAAAAAATACTGAAGCAATTCCTTTTAAAATGCTATTTCTTAAAAAAAAAAAACCCACTGTATTTACAGCTTTTCACTGTGCATTGTCCCACAGATTCCTGGCATACTTTGCTGGGTTCAGACTTGCATTTGACCAAATTCCATGAACGTGGGAATGGGGGGGGTGATCTGTTCTTCAATTCTACTGTAGGCTTCTGTGCCTTCTAGGAAGCTGCATGGGTAATTGCAGTGGAGGCTGCAGAGAGAAAGATTGTTTGGCCAAAAGTATTGCTTCTTTCTCCAGCCGGACCTCAATGCTGGATTCTGATTTTCTATAGTATAAGAAGAAAATGTATTTCTTCTGATAGCCAGATATAAGTGGGTCTACTCATTACATACTCTGAAACATTCCCAATGTACGTCCAATCTCTCGTTAAATTGGACTACTGAAGCAGAATGTTGAGTCATCCAATATATACGTTAATACTATATATATTTAATAATAACAATAATATAAATAAATAAATAAAAATTGGAAGGGACCTTAGAGGTCATCTATTCCAACCCCCTGCTCAGGCAGGAAACCCTATACCATTTCAAATGGCTGTCCAGTCTCTTCTTAAAAACTTCCAGTGTTGGAGCATTCACTACTTCTGGATGATTAATTGTTCTAATTGTCAGAAAATTTCTTCCTAGTTCTAGGTTGCTTCTCTCTTTGGTTAGTTTCCATCCATTGCTTCTTGTCCTGCCTTCAGGTGCTTTGGAGAATAGCTTGACTCCCTCTTCTTTGTGGCAACCCCTGAGATATTGGAACACTACTATCGGTGCTATCGTCCTTCTCTTCATTAGACTAGACCAGTGATGGCGAACCTTTTAGAGACCGAGTGCCCAAACTGCAATCCAAAACCCACTTATGCATTGTCGGGTGCCGGGTGGGTGTGGCCCATTGGGTGGGTGTTGCTGCAGTGGTAACGGCAGACTGGGTGGGACTAAAAAGTTCAATTCCAACTTTGCAAGATCTTTTTTTTCCTGTGAGAAGTTGAAATTGACTGATTGAATCTTTTTTTTTTTTGCACACAACGGCAGAGGCCTAAAGCGAAAAGATTTTATAAAACCCAGCTGAAGGCCTAAGACTGGGGCACAGAGAGGGCTCTGAGTGCCGCTTCTAGCACCCGTGCCATAGGTTCGCCACCACTGGACTAGACATACCCAATTCCAGCAACCGTTCCTTATATGTTTTAGCCTCCAGTCCCTTAATCATCTTCGTTGCTCTTCTCTGTACTCTTTCTAGAGTCTCAACATCTTTTTTACATCGTGGTGACCAAAACTGGATGCAGTATTCCAAGTGTGGCCTTACCAAGGCATTGTAAAGTGGCCTTCACGTGAACTTGATTCTATCCCTCTGTTAATGCAGCTTAGCACTGTGTTGGCTTTTTTGGTAGTTGTAGCACACTACTGGCTCATATTGAAGTGATTGTCCACTAGGACTTCCAAGATCCCTCTCACAATTACTACTATTGAGCAAGGTATCACCTATACTGTACCTGTGCATTTGGTTTTTCTTGCCTAAATGTAAAACCTTACTTTTTTCACCATTGAATTTCATTTTGTTAGTGCTCAGTGTTCAAGTCTGTCCAGGTCCTCCTGTATCCTAAGCCTGTCTTCTGGAATGTTGGCTATTCCTGCCAGCTTGGTGTCGTCTGCAAATTTGATGAGTTCCCCATCTACCCCCTCGTCCAGATCGTTGATGAAGATGTTGAAGAGCACTGGGCCCAGAACAGAGCCCTGGGGCACCCCACTACACACTTCCCTCCATGTAGATGCGGTTCCATTGAGGACCACAGACTTGAGTATGGCTGGCAGCCAGCTACGGATCCATCTGGTGGTGATGCTGTCTAACCCACATTTTTCTATCTTATCGAGTAGTAGGTTGTGATCTACTTTATATATTTTTATATTAATTCCCTTTGAACTACATTGTACATTTCCAATTATCTCACACAGATAACATTTTTTGCAGCTTGCCAGGTCATTGCTTTCCGATCTGGATACTCTTCAAATGTATGGATTCCATCTCTCAGTATTTTCAGCCATTGCTGAGCATTCTGAAAGTTAAAATCCACGCATCTTCAGGATGCTGAGCTTGGGTAAGAATGCAGTACAGTTTTTCTTACAATTATATCCCTTTAAAATCATTGTCCATTACTTTTAAATAGATAGGACTGATCAGTTACTGATCAGTTGTAGTTGCATTTCACAGAGGTATGGTATTTGTTGTTTCTTGACAGATAAGAGTGCTAAACTATTCAGGACATCGTACATAAATATTCATATTTAACTTCTATTTCAAATCTGCTTACTTTGGATAGAGTGTACTAAATTATTGTAGAAATTATTAAATGAAATTGGTGTTAAAAGTATTTAAGTTCATGTTTATATTGTGGGGGTTTTTTATTTTCAGTAAGTCACACATCTCTTGATTATGGCTAAGAAGTGCTGTACTGTAATTAAGACCATCTATGGCAGGGGTAGTCAACCTTGGCTCTTTTATGACTCGTGGACTTCAACTCCCAGAATTCCTGAGCCAGCACAGCTGGCTCAGGAATTCTGGGAGTTGAAGTCCACGAGTCATAAAAGAGCCAAGGTTGACTACCCCTGGTCTATGGAATCTTTTTGCTGTTCTTTTATCTCAGTGTTCTTAAATTTTTCAAGGACACGGAACATTTATCAGTCTGTCTGAACATCTATTTCTTCTTCAAAAGAAAAGATATTGAAACATGTTTTAGTGATACTCTATTTTCTCTTACATTCAACATATCAGGTGTAAGTCTTCATAGTATATATGAACTTGCATATAATGGCATTATTTCACCAATGTCGAGTGAGATTAGTAAAAGAAATTATAGTCCATTTTGATATTTGGTCTTGGTTGTAGTGTGCAATAAGGATTCACTTTGAAAAAAGATAGCAGCAGAAGATAAGAGTCATGAATGCCTTTTCACTTAAAAATTAATATCTTCCTCAAATTTTCTGCCAGATTTTTTGTTTTTTTCAATTAATTCAGTGTGATATTGGAGACTTGTCAACTTATTATTTTTGAATAGGCCAGTATCACATGAAATTGAAGAGGGGGGGAGGGAGGGAGGTTTAAATAGAACAGACTGATACATACTATTGAGTATTGAAATAGCAATAGCAATAGTGCTTAGACTTATATACCGCTTCATAGTGCTTTACAGCCCTCTCTAAGAAGTTTACATAGTCAGCATATTCCCTCCCCCCACCCAAACAATCTGGGACCTTATTTTACTGACCTCGGAATGATGAAAGGCTGAGTCAACCTTGAGGTGGTGAGAATTGAACTGTTGACAATAGGCAGTCAGCAGAATTAGCCTGCAATGCTGCATTTTAACCCACTGTACCACCACAGCTCTTGCATGTCATTTAACAATGGCCAGGAAGAAGCCTGGTATGTTATTGCTGTTTTTTTTTTTAATTGCTGCAAAGAAATTAGAATTAAACGGGGCAGACCAAGGGTTTAGGTGTGATATGTTATGGCGTTTTTATTTTGCAGGCAGAGAATGCATAGGTGCTTGTATGCAATACTGTGCCCACAAGTCATGTTGCTGCAATTGTGCAAATATAAGGATTATTACATTAGCCTGTGATGGTTAGCTGAACACTGATGTGCACTTTACATTCTGTGCATGTTCTCATGTTAATGATGAGCTTCAGTGTACATTTAGAAATGCAAAAATCTGTTCACTTGAGCTGATTTGCCAGGCTTTAATACATTCGGGCATTCCGTGCGTGTTTTGTCTTGTTACCATATTACTTTAATTCAGTTCACAAGCACCAACCATTTTTTGTAGCCAGTGGCACACTTCTATGCAAGTAAAACATTAGCAAAGAACAGTTTGATTGCTTTCGTTACATTTGTGCCTAGAGACATATCAATACTTAAAATAAAAATTGGCAGACATTATTTAAAACACACAACTTCAAA